CTCTCTAGTCACAGCATTGTATAATCGCAACAGATATTGTTGTGGTTCATATACATCTGAAATGTTATTTTGGAGCCACAATATCAGGTCCATGTAGGAGAGAATGACAATCTTCCAACATCCTCCTATTAAGGCATACAAACAATAAAAAAAATAGGAATCTAAGTAAATGAATGCTTTATCAGCCCCTCTCCTACTTTCTATTCAAATGTATGTAAAATGTCCACTATGCTGATCTTGCAACATCTTTACAATTAGACTTGAACCAATCACAATTCCTTATTAAGGCATAGGCTTATTGATAAAAGAGCATGTGGTTAATTATACAGCAAACACAATCTTTATAATTCAGTTACACAATCAAAGAATAATCTTTAATTTACTGGCATGGCCATCGTAAACTTTACCTGTAATTTTGGGCTGAAAATGAGATCATTCTGTCTCTCTCTCTCTCTCTTATATTTCATTCTAAACAGACACTTTAAATCCCTTGTCTGACATTTTAAATCCACCCTGTAGATTCCAATACACATTGCTCAGAAAACTCACCTACAAAATGCTTGCCTTTTCTTGTTTGCATGGCAAAAAGGGCATAGTAAATCCAGCAATTGGAGCAGATAATCACCATTGTGTGAAACCCTCTTCAATCCACATTTTATTTTTTCTAATTGACTTCAGCTGTCTGTTTAATAATTTTATTTTACCTGTGGTGCTCATAAATCTGCTTCCAATACACATTTAACACTAAAGAGATTTCATTGTATTAGACTGGACATCACACATAGGAGAAGACAGTCTCTAATCTAAAGACCCCAGCTGCAAAATCACTCCCCAAAGGTTTGGCTTTACTTACCATTCAAGCCAATGAAAAAAGAAACAGATAATTTAGAACTATATTTGCACTCCAGGAAAGAGGTATAGGCGTAACAGTAGTTTAAGCAGATACTAGCTTTGTTCAGAAATAAGTCCTGAGCCTAGCCCTTAGCATAATCTACATTTTGCACATTTTCTGAAAAGGCTTCTATTGTGCAATCCTTCACTGAATGCAACATTTTACAAGGGATCATGCGGACATTATTGTCTTTCTGCTTGTAACCCTTTCCTCCTTTTATCTGTTGCTTCTATGCTTCCTAACAAAATCTGTTAAGAAAGGGAAGTTGGAATGATTGTAATTGCCTTTTAATTATCAATACTAAAAATAGGTTTATAATTTTTATTGACATACTGCTCTTCCTCCTAAAGGATTCTATTTATAAACTTTAGAATTCACAAACATCTTTTTCCCCAGAATAAGTTACCAATTTTTGATTTAAATACTTTTCTTATATACATAGCATAATGTATGAAACCGGTCCATGATAATCATCTGGGCAAGGCAGATATTTCTGTGTAATGAATGAGAATTGGAATTCCTATTCACATAAAGGCACCATGTTCAGGAAGGGCCTGAAGACCTAGCTGGGCCCTTGTGCCTGGGGGTCTGGCAGTAGCGGTAAGCCTTGGCAATGGTTATATTAAATAGATGTATGATTTATATTCACCAGCTGACTGTGATTATGTTTTACTGAATTTTTAATCGTGGTTTTAGTTGTATGCTATTGTGTATATTTATTTTCTACTGTTGCTGTTGTTGTTTTAATTATTGTGAGCCGCCCAGAATCACACTTGTGAGACAGGTGGCTATGCAAAATAAATAAGAAGGTAAATCTTTTGCAGTTGCAGGGCTATTCCCTTCTTAAAATCCTAAGGAATGGGGTAAACAAAACAAAAAGGATCTGGACATTTTAACAAAAAAGCTGGGTAGGTCAATTTGGCCTGGGGCATCTCTGTTGTGCTGTCAAGCACAGCACGGTCCAGGGGAGTCTCCATCTCAGCTGCATCTGTTACTTGGATGGGGTGAGAAGCATGAAAGGACCAATAGAAAAGAAGCTCAAAATAAAATTGCCTCAAAATTCTTTTGTACAGAAACCAATCATGTGAATACAGCAGCACTCTTGTGCAGTACATTGGCATTTTCATTTCAAAATGGGTGTCGTGGAGTTGGGAAAGGAGCATCTTCCAGGTTAGGTCTTTTTTTGATGGAAGGGGATGAATACTGGTTTGTGGAATTCTGCGTGACCAAGGTAAAGCCGGTCTCAGCAGGTGGCAGCACCTGGGCTTGGCTCCTAAGCAGGGTTGGGTCTGGTTAGTGTTTCAACCAGAAACGACCAAGGAATATCAGGGTGGCAGGCTAGACCAGGAAGTCAGACCACCATTCTGGAAGAAGGCAGGGGCAAATCCCTTCTACACTGCTGCCAAGAAAATGACATTGGTGTCTTTATGAAATCTCCAGGAGCTGAATGTGACTCAGAGACTGTATTCTTTACAGAAACTCCATAGGAAGATTTTCTTCTCTTGTAACAACACAAGCTGAGCCACCCAATGAATGGTGGGCGATTCAGCATGTTAATGATTTAATTTTCTGTGAAAAGATGTGGGGATGGTTTTAAGAGAAGATTAAATAAATTGGTAGGGGATTAATAGCTGTTAGGCATAATGGCCCTGTGCTGCTTCAGGATTCACAATTACTCCTGTCTCCAAATGCCAGTTGCTGGGATTATCTGTTGTACTCATGTCCTGGATGAGGGCTTCTCTTGGGCATGTGGCTGACCATTATGGAACAATATGCTGATCCAGATATTTCTTAGAGCTGTGTAGCACTTCGGATTCATTTCCAAAAAGCTGCTTTGGAATGTGAGGATCACAAAAGTAGTGCCTTTCTGAAACTCTTTAGAGCAGCTATGTCTTTTTCCAGGATTAGATGCATGAATGATATGGCCACCAAACTGGATGACTTTAAACAAGAAGTAGAGAAATTTGTAGAAGCTAAGGCAATCTCTGGTTATTAATCATTATGGTAATGCATCAGAAGCAATAGATTTCATAACTGTTTGAAAACACTGTGTGCAGTAACTGTAACCCCAGACCATGCTTGATGACTTTTAATATACAGTACATCTGCAGGAACAAAATGCTGAAGTAGCTTTCCATCTGAGAATTCTTATTATTATTTTTCAATGGCTTAAAGTTGGAGAGAGGAAATAACTTTTTGATTTTTATAAATGGAAATACAACAGAAAAGAGACAAAAAGGTACGCTTTCCTAAATTGAACGTTTGCTGGGTGGGTAGAGGGAGCCGCTACTTTTTACTTTTGTTTCTCCTCAGTGACATAATTTTGTACTGATTGGTCTTATTGCAATAATACAATTTCACAGGCTTGAGTTCTGAAAAACAACGAATTACATCTGCAACAGCACCAGAGCAAACATGCTTTTAAAAATGCACATATGTCATATACTTAAAGTTCGAAAATATTATTTTAATATCTCTTTTGATAAAGATGTTTTTTTCCTGGTCAGATACAGAAGTCTTCCCCAAGCTGGAACTCTCCAGATGTACTGTGGATAGAAGTCCAGGATCTTCAGCCTGCATGTCAGTGGCCTAGGAACACCCCTTGGGGAATACATGTATATGCCATAGTTTGTGCCCAAAGTTTCATGAAAATGGAACTTGCATTTCCATTTGATTCCACAACAATCTGTAGTTGGTGAACAGGATCTAATAATAAAACATAATCAGTGTGCTGTTCCCTTAAGTGGTGGCTAAATTTTTCTTCCCCTGCCATCCTACAAATCCATGTATTTACTGTAAGAACAAAAGGCTATTCCAGCAACATAAATCCCACTGTATAGACATCTTTTCTGGAATGGGGTTATATAGGGAGGAAAATATAAATGAAGTAAGAACAGCTACGTTTCTCAATATCCCTGTATTGGGATACAAACTTGGGAAGGTGTGACCATGGCTTGGATGTATCAAAGGGGATGTAACACTTCCAACTCCTCTGCCTCACTTCTGCTTGTGGAATTTGTTATGCCAGCGGTATCCCACTCACTATATAAAGGCATTGTATGAGTTCTCCTTCCCATTCAGGCAGCCTGCAGCTTCGCAGCGCAATCTCTTCTCTGCCAAGAAAAGCTTGTACCGAGAGAGGAGTGATTTAGGGAGTCTTTCCCCATTTGATTGATAGGCAAAGGATGGCTGTGAGTTTTAGTTGGGCCTTAACCTCTGCCCTGTTCCTAGCTGCCACTACTTCTGGATTTAGTCAGAAAGGACTCAAGCAAATGTTGCTGGAGAAACTGAGACTTCCAGATGTCCCTGCTCTTCAGAGGACCGACCTGGAGAATCTAGTGATTCCAGAGAATATAAGGAATAAATACATATCCATGCTGGAGCGGCACCGTGTGAAACGAAGAGCATTGCCAAGTTTAGCTGGTATCTTGAGAGGAATTCCAGGCAACGCAGGTAAATTTTGCTGTCATGTTTCCATGAAGCTAAAAGCAAATTCTCCATCCCCATTTGAAATCTGAAACTTTATCAATACCAACTGCTTAACAGATTTCATCCAAACCACAGAAAACAGAATTTCTAAGACATTTTAAGCTAAATGTATCCTCAAAGGTGAAATTTGAAGTTCAAAATTGGTCTGGAAATCTAATTTATTTGTCATAAAGGGGAGATGAAGTAGTGTCGATAGCCATTTTTAAAGATTAGAGCATGATCACACAGATTTCTTTAATATACATATTAAAGAATAATGTATTATTATATTGTAGTATTGTTCATAAAGTTAATTTATGTCGCTTTCCTTACAAATACTGAATATTCTGCATCTGTTTACGGTAACACAATCTTAAATGTGATTACTGAGAAGAAATACTTGCTGTGTTTAAGGAAATTTTCTCCTAAATGAGGCTGATCCCTGCTTTTAAAAGCATTTTGAATATCATATGAAAACAGATAACCACATACTGTGTTAAAAACAAACAGAAATCCCATGTTATGGATCTACTGTAAATACATAAGGAAACACTGTTTTGGTGGCTCAAACCATGAGAAATGTTGACAAAGGGAAAGAGATAGAAAATTGTAAGTTTTAGTTTGCAGTGAAAGTTGCCCCATGTATTATTTTAAAGCATGGAAAATACATGATGCCTGGCCATCCACTGGAAAAAAAAATACCATGGATCATTAAAGCAACTTTTTTTTAACAATTATGTTGCCTGGAAACTCTTTCCCCAACATATCTGGAGGGTACCAGGTTGTGGAAAGCAAATCTAGAGTACATTTATCTTCTCTAAATATATGCTTAGCAGATAATGTTATATGACTTCCATTTGTTGTTGAAGCTAGCAGTAGAAAGTCACTGTCATGGGTGAATACAATAAAGCTTTTCATTGATGTAAATATGTGTGGTTGACACAGTCCTTACGGACCATTATTTCCAATTTTTGTACTGTGTTTATGTAAAGGAAGGATTGACAGCTGCAAGATGGTAACAAAGAAGTAGAAGGAATTGGATGTTTAGATGTCCATCTACCATTTTCTGGGGTTTCAACAAATGACCTATTTCATGTTGTTGTTATTTAAAACAGCCTTTGATAATCTAGTGTCCTCCAGATGTGTTGGATTATACTCCCATAATCTCTACCAGATAATTAAAACATCACTTTTCCTGAGAACTAAGAATGTCTTGTATGTCCTGTATACCTCTTGTTGGAAAGGGGGTTGGAAATAATTATTTAAAAGTGTTCCTTCTGTTTCCATACACACAGATATCTCAGGAGACATTCTCTATTCAGACACCACCCGTCAGAACTTGATCTTTGACATGGAGGGCAGGATCCCAGAAAACAGTGAAGTCACCATGGCTGAACTGAAGCTTTTCAAAAAGCCCCTGGAGAAGAAACATCTGCCCAGCAGGCACTCACAAAGACCAGTCATGAATGCAAGGGTGAGCGTGTACTGGGTGCAGCTTCAAGATAATGGCACAAACCGGACCTCTTTAATTGATTCCAGGTATGATAGTGTTTTGCAGCAGGAGAAGATTATTTTGTCTCCAATACAGCCAGCTTGAAATTGCATAATCAACATTGTATAATTTAAAAATTGTTTCTGTGCTTCATTTTTTTTTTTTTAGTATATAGGCTGGTTCACATACTGTGTTTGGCTTAATGTAATGTATGAATTCAGTCACTATGGTTAATAAATAATGGTTTACAAATTGGAGCAATGTGTACATCTATGTTGCTCTAAACCACTGTAATCTGCAATACTATGATTCAGTCTGATACGTGAATGCAGCCACTTGTTCTCCTGAGAAATGATGATATTGGCCTTGAAGCATAGATTAAGCCAGGGGTCTCAAACTGATGAGCAACAAGACAGCATCCAAAAAATTGGGCTAGATGTACCAAATAGTCCAATTCCAAATAAGGTATAGCTATCAGTTCTGGGCTTCAAAGATCAAAATAACCCACTAGATGATAGCAAAAAGTTAAGATTTTCTGGGTCTCCTTGGTGCCATCTAGTGGTCATCCAGGCTTTTGCAGTCTAGATATGATAGTCCTAGAATAAAGTAGTTGCCTATGTTATGTTTCCTTTACATCATTATATTCTCACTACTTAAAATGTTCATTTTTTATATTTTCTGGAAAGAAGGAAATTAGAGTAAAAGCCAATTTTAGAAGCTGCTGTTGTTGTTACTGTTAATATTATATTTAAATAATATATAAAATACTACTATTCATAGTATGCTTGCATTAACTGAAATACTCTAGGCTCAGCTCAACATTTCATGCTTTTAAAATTTAGATTAGTTCCCATTATGGAATCTGGCTGGAGGAATTTTGATGTTACACAGGCTGTGCATTTTTGGCTGAAAACAAAAACATCTGGACCAATGCTCCTGGAGATTTGGATTGAAGGAGAAAGAATAGGCAGTTATGCCTCTGAAATGGCCAAAGTTGTGCGCTTTACATCTCAGGATCCTTCAGATAAGGCACTGGGCAAACCAGAATTGGTCCTTTACACTCTTAACTTGGAAGAATATGGGTAAGTATCATGTTATAACTGTATGGTGATAGTGTTTCATTTCTGTATTTCATGATGGAAAAAATCCCAGGCAAAAATTTGGCAGTCTCCAACCTATGCTGAACTATGTTTACTTGAAACTAAAGTCAGCTGGATTTTGTGTAAGGTTATTCAGGATAGCAGCTGTTTAGCATGTCCTTTGCCTTGTTCATTTGCAAATAATTCTGTGTTCAACAAGTCTCTCAAGAAAGTTGGTACGACCTTGAATTATTGCTTACTTACTTCTGAACAAATGTGCATAGAATTGGCATACACCCTGTGTAGTTTTTGAGTAAATCTTGAAGGATAACAAATCATTTCACATTTCACAACCAATACAAACGCTTTCCATGAACAGGAATACCTTAGCAGAACTGCATCTGTGAATGCTTCTGCTAGTGGGAAAAAAGATGGAATTAGTCAGTATTTGATTAATTAAAATAACACCTTACTAGGGATAAATATCACCTGTATATTTACTACAGTAAATATACTAAATGATTGTGATGCAGAAGATAGAGTGGCTTAGAGTACAAGTCCTTGATCATCAAGAAGCAAGTTGGGTGATGTTTGATGAGTCATCATAATCTGCCTGACATAATTGTTAGAAGATAAAATGGAACATGTGGAAACAGTGTGTGTGACAAAAGCTAGGGGAGTTGAGCATGTAATCAATAAATAGACAACATAATTAAAACAACTGAAGAGACATTTTTGTTCTTGCCCAGAGTTTTGTAAGTGTCAGTCTGTTTCTTGCTGAAAACTTTCACTGGGTCCAGTCCTCTGCATCTCAGATGAATATTGATTCTGCTTTTTAACAGAGGACCTGGGGACTGTGGAGAAGGAAGTATGATGGAGAGGTCTATCTGCTGCCGGCAAGAGCATTATATCAATTTCCGTGAGCTGACCTGGACTCAGTACTGGATTATTGAGCCAGCTGGCTACCAAGCTTACCATTGTGGGGGCAGCTGCTGGCAGCCCAAGAATTTGCTGCACCATTTTGGCTATGGAGAGAGAACCTGTGCTGTGGTGGAGAGTTCTCCTCTTCCCATGATGTATCTTGTCAAAAAGGGAAACTACACAGAAATTGAAGTGGCAGAGTTCCCTAATATGATTGTAGAAAAATGTGGCTGTATCATGGACAATATAGCGGTGGTCTAATAAACATTCACAACTAGTCAGTTACAAGGAATTCTTTTTCTGCTTCAGCACTGTAACTGCAAGCACAACTCTTACTGCTCTGAATCCAAACCATTTATCACCTGTGGCATACTGAATCTGGTTGCTGGTCGTGGACACATTCATTGCACAATTCCAAAATCTATTTTAGGGCAACGCTTGGATTAGGCAAATTCAAAGGTACGAAGTCTTCTAAAATCTTCAGATTTCTTCATGAGGCAAGATGCTAGAAAAAGTGAATGGAACTGGGGAAAGGGAAAATTAAATGAAAGCTCTGCCTGGTCAGAGTTGTATGGAATATAGAAGATGGAAATATTCAAGCTGGGTTCTGTCTGGATCATTGATCTTTAGGCTCCCTTCAGAACTGCTCCTTTGATGGCTGGTACAAAGAAGCAAGTGAGGGATTATTCCCAGTTGTACTGTAATATACAATTACAGATGTTACCAAAATTGGTTCAACTTTGGATTTTCCACCAAATAACAGGATTCAGAAGAAGATACATTTTTACTGAATTTTGGCAGAGGCTATAGTTTCCTAGGGAGAACTACTGCCCCATTGCAGAGCAGGTTGTTGATGCTAGTGTAAAACTGTTGGTATTGGGACAAGATTGGGAGACAGATGGGTCTTTTACTGACACCATGGCAGTCCTTGCATGTGTTAACAAAATATATATTTTGTTAATCTATCTGGGACTCTGTGTGGAGAGGACCAACATTCTGCAAAAAGCACAATGGATGAAGTGCAAGTGTATACTCTCCCATCAGACTCATTTTGTATTTCCTGCAGGATCCCTATCAGTGAAGACCAGGTCATAAGTGCCAGAAGACAAGTTTACCTGTATTGCAAGAACATCCTAAGTACAGTGTCATTTTCTCCCACTGACATGAATGGCAGCTATTCGTTTCCTATAAGAAGAGTAAAGGGGTGTATTGGGGATACCAATAGAGCAGAAATTGGAGTCTATCTGTTCTAAGCAATGGAGAATTACAGTGGATATCATCCATGTAGCTTGCTCCCCTTCATCTGCATATCCTTAACATGATTTTTCTTTCTTGATCACACTAAAACGTAACATTAGAATGCTGGGAATGGAATTGTATATATGAGCAATTCAGTAAGTCTGGAGCTGGAACTATTACAATCCTGTGAGCCAAAGCCTCTCTGAGAAAGGAGAGTCAATATATTGCACTGGCCAGGAAGTCCTTGTTTCAAATTTCACTTCTGCTAAAGATCTACTATGTAGTCTTTGTTAATTATTATATCTTGATTTCCTGACCTATGCATAAGCTCCTTGGAGAAATTATATATACCAAAATCATGTTTATGAAAATTGACACAGAACTATGTTGCCTTCTGTAGGACAAGATCTGTCTGTACAGTACCAGAAATACGAGAATTGATTCATAAAAATAAATTACCTAGCAGTGGTCTTTATGGGAAAGTGTAACATTCAGTTTGGGATTCCTTGCCCTGAGGAATAAATTCAACCCATCCCCATTAATCTTCAAGAGAACTTGAAGATATTTTTTATTTCAGTCAACCTTTAACTGCTGTACAGTATTTTGAATGGTACTGCTCTTTTGAAAGTGGTATAATATATTATTAGGAATTTCTCATAATGTCACCAGCCTGAAAGTTAATGTTAAAGTATTTATATAAATGCAAGCAAATCATTCAAATGATCATGCAGTGAGCAAATAGTAGCTACAGAAAACCAGTTCAAAAAAATAAAAATAGCTAAATATATACATGTATCTCTATATCTCTTTTACCAATTTTTCTAAACTCCTTTGTATCATGAATTCGCACTCTTATAGATAATAATACCTTCTACTATCTTCTTGCTCTAAGCAGGATTGTGAAAACACTTTTCCTTGTTATATCAAAAGCTTGCATGAATAATTTGTATTGGTGATCAAACACCCTGTGCTTTTTCACTTGAAACACTCTGTACTCATGGTTTCCAGTTAGTTAAAAACACACTCTACAGTAGAATCAATGTCTTGTTTGCTTTCCAAGTATAATCATATAGCCTATGACCTGGAGGAACTCAGAGACCCTACTGTATGTTTGTTCTGAAGGTTTTATGCTAGCTGGCAGTTTGTTTGCAGCTGAGTTCCACAGTGCTACTTATTACCTTTAAAACTCCAGATAATTTGTGTTTATATTACAAGAAAGAATGCTGCCTTCTGAATGATCTCTACCTCACTCACTAAGGTAATCTGAACAGAATTGCCTACTTCCTGTTGCTACTCAGTTTCATTGGGCTGCATCCCATATTGTCCTCTTTGTTAAGAAGACTTGAAAATGCATCTCTTTAAATGGGTGTTTAACTATTTATCATTTTAACTCATTTTTAATATTCTTGGTTTTAACTTGGTTTTATATTTTTATTATATATCATGGACAGACCTCAGTAGTTATGGCATCTAAGTATTTAAAGTCCAACTGATTTTATTGGAAAAGTTAAATCTTTCCTACCTGTTTTTGGCTGTAGTCAATGAGACAACAGTACTCAACTTTGGCTAAGTGGGGACAAAGATATGCTCACTATGAGGTATAATTAACCACAAATCACGGCTGAGCAGAAAGCTGAATTTTCATCTGATTCATAACCAATAACCATAATAACATTGTCAAAACCACAACAAGCACTTATCTGTAAATAATACAGAATTCATGTATGTGTCTTCTTAGAAATGAGTGTGTGTTATTTGGGCAGTGCATATTTTTTTAAAAAATCAGAAAATGTTTCCAATATTGCATAAGCATGCCACCTTGCTGCCATTCATTAAAGCAGCCCAACTTTTTTTCAGACTATTTGAGGCTGAAAATAAAGGTGCAGATGATTTGAAGAGACAACTCATTAGCTGTGCCTTTTTTAAGGCTTGCAGAAAAGGTTGAAAACAGCTGTGCTACTTTAACGAATAGCAGAGCTGTGCTCACTTGAGATCTGAAGCACTTCTGAATCATTTTTGAACTGTGCACAACCCTGGTGCTTAATAAATAAACACAGAATCAGAAATCCTGTAAGTGGGACTTGTGTGAAAAAAGATTTGCTTAAGTATATTTTTGACATTAGTACTATTTTTAATATACACATTGTGCTTGATGATTTTTTTCTTAATTTGTATACATGTGACATAATATAAAATAAAATATAAAATCAACACAATGGATTTTTTTATTTCAATCTTTCATAAACACCTAAAGAATATATTATTTATTGGTAAAGTAATTTTACAATGATAGATCATTACAGAAAGTTCTAGCAGAAAAGTAACTCAGAGATGTAAAAGGAATAAATGCAAATAAGAAAAGTTGAAAGTAAGTAAGTAATATAAGACAGGAATAGGAACCTATATTCCTCCAGATGTTGTTGAACTACAACTACAACTCTTAGCACCTTTCACCACTGAACATGCTGGCTGGGACAGCTGGGTCTTGTAGTTCAGCAGTATTTCAAGGTCCACAGGTTCTCAGCCATGGCATTAACAGCTGGGCTGAGAGGCATACAGATAGTTGGAAGGGTATGAGCACACAGATTCAAATTCAAAATTAACAAAGCAGATTTAGATGTCTCTATTGATAGGTGAGATCAATGAAACTATTGCAGTTCTAAATTCATTTGGTATTAAGACCTATTGAGTTCAATGAGAGACTTCAAGTAGATGCTTAAAGGACTGCATTCTGAAATTGTCAACATAAGCAAACACAGTTCTTCCACCTTTGCAAATCATATGAAAGGAAGGGGAAGACATGCCTGTTGGATCGTTTGGAAAAAACACATGGGCACAAACTCTGTTGCACCTTTTTAAAGAAGCACACCTTTCTCCAGGATAAGCTGTTTTAATGAATTGCAGGCAGGTGCTCCCATACACTCAAACTGAATCTGAAGCATTGGACAGCCATAATCATTAGAATTGTGTTGTGATGCCTGGAAAGGAACTAGAGTTGGAGGAATAGTCTTGTCCCACTATTCTTAAAGCAGACAACATTGCAGTGAAGGTTTATATGAAAGTGTTTTAGTCTTCAGTAAACTCATTGGAATCAGTCAGCTCATTCAGCCAGAAAGCAAACTCCCCACAAACATTCAGTAGAATAAAATATATGAAAAGTGTCTTCTGCTGACCTGCATTTTGAATGCAAATGCTATGAAAGTTGTGACTAAAAAGCAAGGAATCCAGTTCAAAAGCTGCTTTGGCCTTCTGATCCTGAGTTCAGCAGCTGAAACAATATTTCTAGCTCACTTGCCATAGAACAGTAATTGCAACAACAACAACAAAAAAGCAATTTCTTTTTGTAACAGTGAAACTCAACAAATTTGGGACCATCCATTTCTGTATTAGAGAAAGATCTTACCTCATCACTCTTTCCTCCTGCGCTTCAGGCCTTTTAAGTCTTGGCTTAAATCAAGTATTATAAGAGTAAAAGCTAATTCCAGCAATTTCAGTGAGGAAACTACAGTAGTTCTGTTTTCTGTTCTCTTGGCAAGGAAGGAGTTGCAGGCCATCATGATGAAGGATTCTGGGAAAGAATTTAGTTGCAAAATTAATGACATATCATGCCACCTTCACAACTCTCAATGGGATTTTAATATAGGAGGAATGGCAACTTGATACCCAAGCAATTTCTTCCCATTATAGACACTCAGATTTTTGACAACCAGATAAATGCATATACATGGCTGAAAGTGTGGAGTTGGACAAGAAGCTAGGTATTTCATTTCAATTTTGGTTGGGGATCAGGGGAATTTTGGTGCTCAAGGACTGGCAGTGCCTAGAAATAGAGCACTGATGGAATGAGAGTTTTTGCATGTCCCTATTTGTCAACTGGGCAAACCAGTTTGTTGTAGGGTTAAGGCACCAGGCTAGAAACCAGGAAACTGTGAGTTCCAGTCTGGCTGTAAGCACAAAACCAGTTGGGTGACCTTGGGCCAGTCTCTCTCAGCCATTGGAAGAAGGCAAATCAAGCCACTTCT